CCAGTGCCTGTAGGGGCATATAGGAAAGATGAGGACAGACTTTTTAGCAGGGCTTGTAATAATAGGACAAGGGGTAATGGTTTTAAACCAGAAGAGGGTTTCAGACTAGGCATAAGGAAGAAATGTTTTGCAGTGAGGGTGGTAAGACACTGGCACAGGTTGCCCAGGGAGGTGGTAGATACCTCATCCCTGGAAATGTTCAAGGCAAGGTTGGACTGAGTTCTGAGCAACCTGTTCTAGTTGAAGATGTCCCTGCTCATTGCAGGGGAGTTGGACTAGTTGACCTTTAAAGGTCCTTTCCAACCCAAACTATTCTGTGATTCTATGACAAGGATGAGGAAAGGTTGCATAAGCACTCTTAATTGTCTTTATTCTTTCTAGAATAGCCCTCAACCAATTGAAACTTACACTGGTTTGGCGTTTTGTGTGTTTTTTGAAAGTCTGCAGCTACCATGCAAAAGGAATAATCCATATCCCTATCTTGGGACTGCCCATTATAAATTTTTGGGTGGTGTTCTCCAACAAATGCCAGAACAGACTTTTCTCCCACACCTTATCTAGATAAGTGCAGACTAAAAAGGCACACTCATGCAAAGTGGAATGTTTGAACAGTTACTCCTTTTGCCTTGTAAACCTTTCATGGCTGTTTTCCACTCAAAGAAAAAAAAGTCTAATCAGCAAGCCTGACACTTAAAATGCCTGGTTTAATGTCCTTTTACTCCTGTTCCCACATGAGCGATGCTCCAAAAAGTTTAGCATGTCTGTGTTAGGTTCTGGGTTATTTTCCAAAGTCCTTTGTCATCTTTTTGTGGGTTTGGGGTTTGATGTTGTGCTTGCAGCAAATGGAATTGAGGGTAAATTCCTCAAAAGTCTCTCTCCTTCCACCTTCTCCACTCATTAGGTATTTCATTTGCAGGAGGGAGGTTTTGGAAGTGAATTTGTAGCTAAGGTGGTGGTATCAGGCTTTTAAAAGCCTTTATTCTGCCAACAGTCAGTGGGGTGCTTTTATCATGTGTTCAGAACAGAGGATGTGAGACGCTAATGAATCTGTCTCTGAGCCAAACATAGACTCTGATTTAAATGCTTCTTAGTTTGCCCCAGGAAGTCCCAGAATGTGCTGGCACCACGCACTATCCTGTCCAAAAATCTCAGTTTAAGCTGTCAGTTGAAGAATGAGGCAATAAAAGAAATTATTAAAATATCAATTTTCACATCTTGCAAATTCAGTGGTGGTTTGTGATATGGACTATGAATAAGGGGGGTACAGGGGAAGGGGTTGAGACATTGAAGAGGTGTAGCTGAAGTTTGATATAGGTGTGTGTTGCTAGATACTGTTGTTTCAAAAAAAGAAACAGAAATCATTATCACCTTGCCTAACTATGAGCTGTTATACTAGCCTACAAAGCATAAGATAAACCATTCTGGATTTGCTGATAGGAAAGTTGTCAGGGCCTGATTGCATCAGAACAGATTTCCTGCTTTACAAAGGCACCATGTGATTTAGCCCACTGTCAGATACTCTGGAGGTGGAGAGAAGCAGCCCAATTAATACACGTGTAGATTTTCTATTTGCCTGCAGAGTGCCCAGCAGTTGCTTTGTATGCCTGTTCAATGCAATTCTGCAGGTACTTAATGCCCTAGTGGGATAAAAAAATGTGTCATCTTGCCATCAAAAATGTTTCACGTAGGTATAGTGGAAAAAATCACGTTAAGTAATGGGGGAACTCAAGTTTATTTTAAAATAATTCCTTTTCACTATATGCCTTCATTTTCGAGTTTAATGTTTCTGCAGCAGAAACAGGCACTGGTTGCTTTGTAACTTTTTGACTGTTTCACTGTGAAAACTGCAACGTAAGCTAACTGGCATTTTAACAGACCACTGTGGGTCCCTGGAATACATGATTATATCATCTGTAAAGCTGTTACTGAATTTTCCCCTTGTTGCAAACTTGGCAACTGAGCCTGCAATCTGTATCTTAATGTGGATGTTCTCTGGTCACCAAGAAGAAAATAACGTAATGACAACTTGGTTAGCCTTTCTGTTGACTGGGGAGCTGGTGTAGAATCAACTCTTGGCTTCTAGTCCTGCTGTGGTGTGCTGGGAGGTGTGCATAGCAGTGGAAAACTGTGGCTGCAGGCTGTTTTCAATTTCTTTCAAGGTAAACCACAACCTAAATCTAATGCCTAGCAGTGAAAGAGGCCCACACAGTGCAAGCAGTTTGATATTACCGCTAAGGGCTGCTCAGAGCAGAGCTGGAGAGTTCAAGTAGGACTGTAAAAATTCCCATTTGTAAGCTCAGAAACTGTTTTTGCAACAAGTCTATGATATGTTGGTGAACAAAAACTTCTTAAAAGCTTTTTTTCCCCCTGTCAAGACCTAGAACTGATTGTCTTTCTGATAATGGATATGCACTTCTTCATCTGTGGGGAATGCCTGGGAATACCTTTAATATTTATGCTGCTCTTAGTTCCTCAAAGGATGGGACTGAGAGGCTAAATACTTCTCTTGAAGACATGAGTAAGCCAAGCTAACAAAGGTCAGATGCTGTCAAGGCAAGAAGAGAAGGCAAAAGTAGTTCGTAACACAACTGCTGTGAGCTTCTATGACAGTTTACTGTACAAGCCCTATCAGGCAGACAGGTCATTAGCAAAGGAAGTACTGTGTAATGAGAGCATGTTTATACCTTTGTTAGCAAGCATAATTGTATCCCAAAGTCTAGAAGGCTGGTTGAGCTAAGGTACACTAACTTCCATAAGCAGCAAGCAGGAGCAAGGTACCGGACACGCACTTCCAGCCAAAACGACAGCTGCATTGGCCATGGGCGACACTTAATCAGAGTCTAGAGCCATGACAAATCCATATCTCTGTCCTGCTTATGTGATCTTAATCTGTTGCAGATCTGAGACCAACAAACAGGTAGGTAGACTGACACAGCTGTGCGGACTGGGATCCCGTCCACTTGTGGTTGGCCCGCCTGAGCTGACTGGTAAAGTCTCCTACCACACCCTAGTTTCAGTGGTTAAATACGAAGGGAAAGGAGTGAGCAGTGGGGAAGGTATTGAATACTTGTCCTGTGACTCAGTACCTTCCCACCAGAGAACCTCCCTTGGCATGTGTTGTCACACTGCCCTGAAACACTAGCTGGGGTCAGAGCTCTGCTGCCCTGCAGGCTGTACAAACAGCTGAAAAGCCAGTCCCTAGCCCGAAGGAGCATCTGTTCTGAGAAGACAAATAACACATGGGAAAGAAGGTGAAAGGGAGAAGCATTCATCTGTGTGAAAAAGCCTTTCTGCTGGCTGTGTTCATAAACTGGCTGAGCAATGAGGAGTTGGCTCACACCTGAGCAATACATTTGCTTGAGGACAGAGGGAGGCTACTGCTGTGCTCCTGCTCCAGCTTGGAAGACCTGCAGCACATGAGAAACTTATTTTGGCTCTTAGAGAAACGAAGATTTATAAGCAAAAGGGAAGGCCAAATTTAAACAGCACCATAATGCTATGGACTGTTCAATCTTGAGGTTAAAAATGCCAGTGATGACCTCAACTCCTGGCCGGCTCAGCTGTGCATAACTGATTTGAGACGGAAGCTGTTTACACACCTAGGAGAGATGAGTGTTGACAGTACTTTCCAAAAGAAGTTTAGTATTCAGATTCTAATAGAGCTGATGCATTCAAATAAGCCTTTTGATTTCTGGTCATACAAAGATGAAGGGGAGGTTGAGTGATAGGTGAGAATGGCCTGTCTTAGTGCAAGGGTTGGGACTGGCTCAGTGTCCTTTCTCTGCTGTGAATGGTTGTCTGTACTTGACAGTCAAATCCGCAACCTATAATAAAAGGACTGTCATCGTAGCCACTTGACTGTGCTAAAAGTTCCTTCTCCTAAACTCATGAGCAATGTAAGGAGGTTCGTGCCAGTTTTGATGTTGGACTAGATGGCCTTTAAAGGTCTCTTCCAACCCAAATCATTCTATGCCTGGCTATAAGGCCTGTGGAAGACAGCACCATCCAACAGCAGTGGACTGTATTTAGCCTTAAAGTCTCCCCTGGGCTGTGTTATTATGTTATTAGCTTGTTTGCTGAAGGAAAGGGCATAAATGAAGAAGGCAGATGAAGCCTGACTTGATTTTGTACTTTAAATCAGAGTAGTAACTTTCCTGGCCTGCAGGGTAGTCTCCAGGCCATGTTAAGCATGTGCCTAAGGTGTTATATTCCTAACGAGGAAAGAAAACAACCTCTCAAATTGCACACAGAAACACTTTAAGTATGCTACATAAAAGCAGAATGACCGTGAAGCCTGAAACCAAATTATTAAAAATTTGCTTCACAGTATTTAAAACAGCTGCAGTTCATGTGATGGATACATGTAGATTAATAAACTGCACAGACCTATTTCATTGTTGCTTCCATGTGATGCTATCTTCCTTTGTAACTCATTGTATTCATATAAGGATTTTTGGGTAACCTGTGGAAACAATGGTGCCATCTTTCCAGTGCAGTTATGGAATGGGTGTGTAAAAGTAGTGCCATATGAACAGCCTGAAAAGGCATCTTCTGAGGTCTCAAACAGCTGTGGGCTTAACTTTGGCACAGATTTCTTATGCTGCCCTGCTAGCTTATCTTGGTTTTAACCTTGGAAAACTGGCCTTTGGAAGCAAGAAGTCAAGAACTGCACTTCTGGAGGCTTCTCCAGAGCTGTTGCTGCATGAGAGTTTATGATAGCAAAGGAGGAGGTTTTTGAGAGTTACTTCAACTGATGCTTTGAAGGTAACAGGACTGAGGCTTTTCCCTCTCCAACTCATTGTCATCCTTCATAATTCAGTGAGGAGGATAATGGGTCAGAAGAGGGATGTAGCATGCTGTGACAACCAATGACAAAAAACAAACATTGCATGACAGACATCCCGAAACAAAAAAAACCCTGACTTTTATTCAGTTCACACAGGTAATTAGAGTGTGTGTGTGTGTGTATGTATCACTCAATATTTTTTTTCCCTCCCCAGGCATTTACCAGAAAAAGTCAATGATGATGTTCAGCTAAAGAACATGAGTGGGCAGTGGTTTTATGAAGCAAAGTCAAAGAGGCACAGAGATAAGATACATGGAGCAGATATTATTAGAGCTTCCATGCGACGGAAGCCTGCCACTCTTGGTAAGCATGTCACTTTTATTTTGGAAAGGCTGGCTCTTACTTAGTTAACCTCAGATGCTGCTGTCTGTGAAATACAGTAATATTGGTATATCTACAAGCAGAAACTGATGCAAAAGAGAGATTTCCCACCTAGCTTGTAGTGTAAGCTTTCGTCTACCCCAGTGCTGTGTATTAAGGAGAGAATTCTGTGCGGTGACTGCTAGCAAGAGGGACTGGCTGTGTTTATGTGTAGGACTAAAAGCTCTCTCCACTCCTGGACTGCATTCTTATATCCATTATTGAGGCCCTGTGAAATACCCTGGAACGTGCAAAGAATCAGAGATCAAAGAAATTGCTCGTTAGTATGGATTTCCAATATTTTGGGTGCTCAGTTTGAAATCTCTGAGGCTTAATTTATTTTTTTTTACTTTTAAGTACACCAAGGGTACTTCAAGTTGATTTAAAATGGTGGGAACCATGAGCTAGAGCTAGTTATGTCTGAAAAGCCTGTGCCAGGAGCTCTGGCAGCTAGAACTGGCAACCTGCTTCCACGTTACCTTTGAATGCAGCTGTTGTTCCCCACATCGTTGGGGGTGCCCACAAATCACAGAATCATAGAACAGTGCGGGTTGGAAGGGACCTTAAAGCCCATCTAGTTCCAACCACCCTGCCATGGGCAGGGACACCTTCCACTAGACCAGGTTGCTCCAAACCTCATCCAGCCTGGCCTTGAACACTTCCAGGGATGGGGCATCCACAGCTTCTCTGGGCAACCTGTGCCTTTGCCTCCCCACCCTCTCCATGAGGAACTTTGTACTGATATCCAATCTAACCTTTCTCACTTTCAATTTAAACCCGTTACCCCTTGTCCTGTCACTACAGACCCCTGTAAAGAGTCCCCCCCAGCTTCCTTGTAGCCCCTTCAGGTGCTGGAAGGTGCTATAAGGTCTCCCCGGAGCCTTCTCTTCTCCAGGCTGAACAAGCCCAGCTCTCTCAGCCTGTCCCCATAGCAGAGGTGCTCCAGCCCTCTGAGCATCCTCGTGGCCTCCTCTGGACTCGCTCCAACCAGTCTATATCCTTCTGATGTTGAGGGCCCCAAAGCTGGATGCAGAACTCCAGGTGGGGTCTCATGAGGGCAGCGAGGGAGAATCTCCTCCCTCAACCTGCTGGCCACACTTCTCCTGATACAGCCCAGGATACAGTTGGCTTTCTTGAACATTAAGAAAATCAGTAGGGTAGGTTTGACTTGAAGGTTATGAAAATCAGCTGTGAAATCCTAGCTAAATTTTACAGTAACTTATAGCTTAAAGGAAAGTACTCAATGCCGTATTATCTTAAAGAAAGGTTAATTAATCCCAGTCATATTAGTTGAAGAAAAGGCATACTGCTACATCCAGAGGTATGTGCAATTGCTTGCTTTCAATGACTCATTAGATGTCAAGATATTTTTGCTTGCAGTTATGGATAGCAAAAGTGAGAATAAAAGTCTTGCTTATTTTTATACACTAAGAAATTATTCATTTCTAACCTGTTGGAGAAGTGCAAAAAGCAGTAGAGAAAATATGTAAACAAAGACTCTGGAAGGGGTTATCAGAATAGGATTCTGTCCTGTCCCAAATAGAAATACAGATGTATTTGCATTTGCTGAGTGAGTGGGGCTTTTTGTTTTGTTGGGTTTTTTATACTTACCTTCTTAACTTCTTGTGGTAATTCTGTCCATAAAAGATTAGCCACCTGCTTAAATGTTATGGCCAACTTCCACTTTACTGCTGTAGGAAGGGAATAATTGACCTGATTAACTGAAGTCCAACATGTTTTCAGCTTCCTACGGTTTAATTGGTTTGGTTTCCTCAGGACGCTAAGGTTGAGTTATCCAGCTGCAAGAACTGCAGGATCAGTCTGTACCAAGGTTGTTGTAGACAACTTCTCCATTTAGGATGACTTTAAGGTCTAAAGCAGATGTACCTGGAGTAGTAAAGTATTCAGAGCAGTATGTGACATTTCTAGTTGTATTAAAAGAACCCATTTCTTCACAAGGCACCAGATCTGCTTCTGTACGTAATTTAAGTATAGTGGGCTTTTGAAACAGCCATAGGACTGAATGCAGATGCTTTTATTTACTACTTAAGAAATCCTGTACGAACATATGGGAGACAACAATATTCTTATTTCATGTTTTAGCTGATGTGAGTCAGAACACATCAAACAAAGCAAAGAGCAGCTGGGTGAGCAATGTTAATAAAGAAGTCTTTGTGCCACCAGAACTACATGGCATTGTGGAACATCAAGAAGAAGAACTGAAATCCAGTTCAAGGTAAGCTGTCTGTTCAATGTAAGCATGTATACATCAGGGCTGGTGACACTTGTGAGCTGTAAGTTCCTTCTATTGCACTTTCCTCTTATTTCAAAGATTATCAAATGCTTCCTCAGGATCGCCCTAGGAATCCATGCATGTGGAAGACTGACACATCATAGTCATGTGTTGTTAATTGTTCTGCGTTCGAATGCAGAACAATCTTCAGCTTACCTCTGCAAGGAAGAAGTTGCCAGTGGTGTACAGGATGGTTCCACACACATTCTTCTGTCACAGCTTTTAGTCTGGTTCCCGGAAGCGAAACCAGATTTTCTGGTTAGAATGACTAGACACTCCTCTGGAGTTACGAAGATGGGGACGATAACCTCTGCCTCTCTTCCTTCAGTCGTTCAGTGAGACCAGACTATTGATTCAGCCTGAATTTTAAACTTATACCAAGAATCGGAGATTCAGAAATTGCTCTTTAGAATTTTCCAGATTTTTGAGCGCACATTTTAAAATACCTGTGAGTCGGGTTTGTTTTTTTTTTTAAAGAGACCTAATGTATTTGAGGTGGAAAGAACCAGCATCTTTGGATGCTTGTGGAGAGCAAATCCAATTCTACTAAGAAAAATCTCTTTCTGGAAGAGAGGCTTCCATTCAGAGTAGGGCAAGATGGGCAGCTGGGGTATAGCTGAACGACTATAGCTGTTGCACAAAAGCTGGATGAGAAATAGTTTCTGAACTACAGAGATTTTGTATTAAATCGCTCTATCTCAAGTCTGTAAAGATCCCAAACAGCTCCATTTTGCTTTGAAATGTCCTGAATTTATTTCCATGGAAGGACTTCCCTTTAAAACACCTACCTGTAGTAATTCATTGTGTGAAGAGCTCCCGGAAAACCTGCATTTGTAGAGGAAGTAGCTGATCTCCAGGCTATACTGACAACAGATGGAAATGAAATGTCATTAAATAGCCAGATTCCTCAATATCACTGCACAAAAAAGAACCAGGGTGTAACAGAGAGCTACCATTTGTGCTTTCAGTGAACAGAGTGAGGTAAGAGCCAGAGTTACTTCTGAGGTTGACTTTTACTTCTGGTTGTCACTGATCAGCTCTGTAACATTTCTCTTTCTTCTCGAAGTCCTTCTCTATCTGTCACCTGTTTTTTCTCTGCAGCAAGGCTTGTCTCCTACTATGCATTTGTACAATATCTAGTAGCAGTTCCGTCCTAAGCTTTCGTGGTCTACAAACTGGGCACGCACACTCACGATGAATGGCATGGAAGGTTGGTGTAACTCTTAACTCTGGCTTGCGTTAATGGTCTTTTATTATCCTTTAGGTGTCAGTGAACTCAGAGGGGTATCTGTCTTACCCACATCTGAAATTGTGCTGAAAAAGGTCAAATAAACTGCTTTGTTGTTGAATTCCCAAAAAAATGAAGTTGCATAATAAGGATAAAGGTTGCTTATCACAAGAAAAAGCTTAGATCCCTCCCCTGCCCCCCCCAGGTGGCTGATAATGCTGACAGTTGTTACTGAATGTAGTCATTTTGCAGGTGGCTCTCTCCTCTAGGAGGTTGTTATGGAGTTATTTCTTTATGGACAGCACGAGAAATGCTGCTGTTCAATATATCTCTTAGAATATTTTGCATGTTGTCTTGAACATCAGGAAAAGATGGTACTTTAAAAGAAGTGTAGCCTTATACTGTTGTTCGTACCGTAACTCCACGAACTGTGTGTGATTGATGGAGTAATGCATTTAAAAGACTGCCACTGTCGCCCCAGTGACATTATGGGGTTTAAGAACATGCAGGTAATGTGTTTGGAATATGACCGAATTGATTGTGGCCTTTAACTTGAGGTGAGCAATAGTCTTAAGTGGAGAGAACTAAGAGGATGGAACAGCATCATGCTGGAGTTTGGGATTGCATAAAGTGAGTTAACAGCTTCTTGTGTCCAAATGCTACATGTGGTTCGGGCACTTGAAACATTTTAAGTACTACTTTAAGGGTATGTTTGTGGCAGCTTTGGGTTTTAGTTGATGTGTGCCCCCCCTCCCCTTTTTCCTCATTTTGAGTTTCAGGCCAACACTGGATGCAGCTTTGCATAAATTGAACAACTGCTAGCCTGAGGATTGGGACCAGAAGATATGTGATAACTATTCTTAAAACAATTCTTACTGAATGGGAAGAAAGTTCAGTTCTGGTAGATCCATGTGAACTGTTGAAGGTCAAATCCAGCCCTGGGGCCAGTTCAACTCCTATTGAATCAGGGTGCTGCTGTATTAGGCAGAACAGAAATCAGCCGACAACTATATTCTTAAAATTAGCATAGTGATCATCATCCCCACACTGCAAATATCTAAATTCAGTAACGAAGCTATGAATGTGTGTCTTTTCTTGGGTGTTATATCACCGTGGTACTTTTCTTGTATACCGGAGCCTTCTCAGGCCAGGTGTGTGAAGTGTCTCTGAAGGCGTAACCTTGCACAAAACAGGTTTTCATAGGGTGACTCAGACTGTCAATATTCCCTCTGTTCAGTGATACCATCTGTCTATATGCTGCATCTCAAGAAAGGGCAATGTTAAAGGGGTTTTATCTTTCCAGTTAAGATTTGTAAGAAGTTATCTTCCCTAGGCTAGAAAACATTCTTAGCCTACATGGCAGCCCAGAAAGCCAACCGTATCCTGGGCTGTATCAGGAGAAGTGTGGCCAGC